AGGAAAAACTACCACCATATATTTTAAAGAATCTGGTTAGTTCTGTAAAGTAAAAGTATGTTCCCAATAATAAGGCTACAATCCTAAAGCTAATGTTGGTTACTGTTGAGTGTCACTTTCTTACTTGCTGTGGTTTGTTGGTGTGAATTGACAAAAAGTCATGATATCTAATCAAAAGCATATTAGGTGAGAAAAAAAAAAGATGTGGCCAAAAAAGGATTGGTCGTGCAATTTAAAGGAGTGAAAGCAAAATTAGTGGCCAAACTTATAGTAGCAGCAAATATTCATTAGCTAGGCCATGTATGTTTTTTTTTACCCACCATCATACCCTAAGTTAAACAAAAAATGCAACCTGGTTAACTAATGAATGAATATTTGCTGTAAAGTTCTTATCAATGTTGTAAATGTAGCCACCAGTTTGGGTGTCAATCTGGACTTCATTCCTGTAAGTCACATGCTCAATTCTATTTTGGCCACACATTTTTTTCACATCTAAGGTGTTTTTGATTAGATAAAAGGCTGATACATATCAACTAAATAATGAAAAGAGAATGTATTATGCAGTATTGTGTTTTGTGACTCATATTATGAGTTGTTTTCTCTTAAATGGAAAAATAATTACAATGATTAACTACAAGTCAGTTATGTCTTACTCAGATCATTGAGCTACTAACTCATAATCTTTCAAATTGCATGAGCTTCTGCATAAAGAAGCAACTTTAAGGTATGTTTGTGTGTATGTGATTAGGTAAGTAACTCAGCACTAGTATTATACAATGTATATTAAATAACTGTCAATTTTCTGTTAGGTTTTTAAGTATATATTGAGGCAGGGTTCTTTACAGTAGGTGTCTGTAACTTGTTGGCGATAAATTTCAACAATAAACAAACAGCACAAAATCCATTTGTTTGAAAATAATAGAATAAAGCAAGTCAAACGTATATACAAATGTTTTTTACACAGTTAGTTTCTACAGTTGAATCCAGAGCTTTAAATTATTCTCTTTTTCGTCAAACGTCCACGCAGGATGATTCAGTTACTTTAGAACCCATTATTCTTCCCTACTGTGTTATCACAATACAACCAGTGATAAATTCACATAAATTACTTTATTGGTTACCACAGTTGTATTCAGAGCTTTAAATAATACTCTTTTACGTCAAAAGTCCACATAGACTGGTTCAGTTACTTTAGAACCCAACTGACAAGATGAATTATTCTTCTCTACTCTGTTGTTACAATATAATCTGAAATTATTGCACTTTAAAAGTTGCCACTATACATTCTTTACAGCTAAACTTGCAAACACAGTCTAGATCTATTTGACTATATCTCTCACTAACTTTGTCTTACTTTCACTTTCATTAACTTACTTTAATGCTTGCATAACATAAACTGAATAATACTCTTGTATTGAACCTAAAATTTACAGTCATTTAGATCTAACATATTCCTTGCAAAGAAGATCTTGTATAGTAAAGACACTAAAATCTTTTATTCAAGACACCATATCTGGAGTGTGGTGTAGATTTCTCTATTATTCAAGTTGATTTTTTTTTATGCATGCTTTAAGTTCATAATTTAACAGGCCCCTCACAAGCCAGTGGGGGACATTTTTATTGAAAAAACCCTGCCCAATCCAGTTTTTCTTAATTGAACTGAAATTTTTTGGACATTTTTATTGGCTAAAGAGAAGGCATTTCCCGCACTCTTTCAGCAGTGGGGGCTGCAAAAAGTGATTTGAAGTGGCAAGGTGACTGAAATCCATCAACGCTTCACAAGCTTAAAGGCCAAGCACAAGAAGCACAGAAGTATCCAAATGACACACAGAAATATTCAGGAACCATTTAGAAACACCTTGGTAGATATTGTGCAGCAAGCTGAGTACAATATTATGCCTGTGACTGCTTTCAAAGTATTCCTGTCTGCTCATCCTACTGCAGACTATCATTATGCTTTGACCTTCCCTGCTGAATTGCAGGTGAAATTGTCCATATCTCAGTTGAAAGCTAAGCATAAAAAGGTGATAGAAGAAGCAAAAAAGGTTGAAATATACTTAATTAATGATGCTGAGAATGTGGCTTTATTGATATATACTGAATTTACTCCCAGAGGGTAGACCTTAGTACTAGCTAGTATGGAGACTTGAGGATGCTGTATTTCACTTAAAACCTTATCAGTTTACAAACGAAAACTTGTCTCAAAGTTGTCTTGAAAAGATGCATTCAAAACCATCCTCTTTGAGAGTTTCTGGATTGAACTTACTTTTAATATTCAACAAATTGTAGCATAAAGACACCCCTTGGCTCCTGAGGGACATATTAAAAACGATTAAAAATAGAAAACAAGTGAAGCTATTATACTCACATTAACATATGAATTTGTATAAATTGTAACATTTTATCTTTTCTGTCAAACTAAAAAAAAAAAGCAGAATGTCTTCTTTGTAGCTTTTCAAACTTTGTCAATTTAACAGGATCCAAGTGTCTCCAACACCAATGACCAGTAAAGCACCAGAACAGACTACCGCAGTTTATTTCCAACAGGTTGCATTGTCACCACAGATAGGTAAAGTATATGATATGTATTATCCTTTAAATGTATTTTTGTTTATTTTATGTCATAGAATACATTTTTTACCTTAACTGTAATATAATGTATTTATCCCTATAGGAATTTATGTGTTTTTCAGATTAAAGTTTTAAACATGGTACCTTGCAAATAATAGTGACACATTTCAGTTATTAGGTTGTCCATAAAACAATTAATCATAAAAGGTGTTTTTTTAAGATTGAATATAATTTATTTGACTATATCTTGATGAATAATTGATCTTCAGATCTGCTGTTTCTAAATATAGATTTTCAGATCAGATAGAGATATATCTGAAATACTAAAAGTCCTTGTTGAGCAGCTTTCATGCTTTTGACAACCATGTAACTTCAAATTCTGAATGTCCTTGATGCAATGGAAAAAGCATATATCAACTTAACCAGAATTCTCTGCTCTTCAACTTTTCATTTCACTCATTATGCATGCATCAGGAGAACCTGTGTAAGCCTTTTTTTCCTGTTTTAAACTAGATTTTCTTGTTGATAGTCATGCTTTTACATTTTCTCAGTATGAATTCTTAAGTTAACATTCTACAGCTGCTAGTGTTACTACTACTAGTATTGGAAATTTGACAGTGTATTTGGAGACCTTATAAACATAATTTGCCTCTAATGTGCAGGGAGTTTGTGTAGCTGTATTATGAGCTCTTTTTGCTCATCAACATATTCAAGTCGTTACTTCTGTTTTTATAGCTACTTTAGTGACTAGTGTGTTTCAAGTTTGTAAAACATCTGCCCTTTTCTCATTATTATGATGATGATGATTGAAAAAAGATATTTTGTCGAGGCCTATCACCTTCATTGTGTTAAGAGTAAGATTTATCAGCTAGCCCTAATTTTGAAGAAGCTATTGCTGGTCTGATTTATCATTTTTTCAGGTATGTTCTATCTTAAATCTTGAACTAATTCTGTTGCTGATGTGATTTTGGACAATTCAGTTCTAGAATCTATTTCCCACCTTTTGATTTTTTGATCATTGCTGATGCTTATATAAATCAGCTAAATGTTAATAGCTTTTAGTGGGATAATTTACCCCTAGTCATTTTACTTCTCCAGTTTTTGACTCAGAACATTTTATTGGGGTAAAAGTCTTCTTTGTGGACTTTTACTTGATGCTTTTATAAATCAGCTAAATGTAAATAGCTTTTTGTGGGGTAATTTATCTTAAGGAGACAAGGACATACAAGATTTGTTTATGTACTCGAGTAAATGTATGCGTACAATTAGCAAATTGTACAGTGATGCCATTCACAAAATCTAATTCTAAAAATTTGCTTCCATGACACCTGGATTTGTATCACTATTAAAACTCATCATTTCATTTTTAAAACTTGAATAGAGATTTAGGTCCAGGCATCATGGAAGTGAATTGCTGGAATTTGATTTTGTAAATTATATCACTACACAACCTGCTAATTGTACCTACATTTACTCGAGTACATAAACAAACTTCATATGTCTTTCTTTGTATCCTGATAATGGTGGATCATTTTGTCCACTGAAACATGTAGTGTCTTTCTTTTAACCTTTAAAAATACAATTATTATGCATGTGGAAATGTTGTTCCACTTCCTTCTAACCCATTTGCTTACACCTTTGGGATAAGGAAGTCACAAATATCCATCAGGAAGGAGAAATAAAAATTTATCTATCACACTTCTTCAGGCTTTTACTCTCATCTCTTTGTGGTTTCAAAGAAACCAAGAGATTTGGGATTTGTCTTGATTCATCTTTTTCTGGAAATGCCTCATTTTGAAATGGAAAAAAAGAGGTTGTCATGGAAATTTCTTTGACATGGCCTTTGGATGATGATGATGGATACATAGGATGCCTTTCTTTATTTTGTGTGTCAGTTTCGTTGACTTCATTCTCATTACGTTCACTTTTGAGCCTGTTGTGTTGCTGGTGTGCTCTTTATTTTGACAAACACTTTTTTGGGATTGTCAGCTTCTCAAGCAAGTACCCTCCACCCTTTGATTTTTCAGTGGCTGTATGAACATTTCAGTAGTCTGATGATCAATGCCTTTGTAGCCTTGGATGACCAGTTTCTTCCACTTTTCTGGTATTCAGTGGACAGCATGAAAACAACTTAACATGTTTGAAATTTGTTTAAGTTTCAAAAATGAAAAAGTTAATAAATGTATTGAAAAACCATGGAAGAAAGAACACAATTAAATAGTCTGCAGATTTACTGTTTTCAAAAGTAGGCTTTAAATCTCTTGGCCACATTTTGAGAAAAAATAATTAGACAGTTCATAGCTTTGTCATCATAAACAAGTTTTAACTCTCTTGACAAGGTACCGAGAATAGGAGGATAATTAGATGATCTAAAAATATTTGCTTTTATGTAGTTTTTCTTTGATGTAATGCTTGAGTAGAGAATAAATTAGGTGATATCCATATCAATTGTGTATAAACATAGATTTTAAAATTGTCATGTTGACCAAACTGCTGATAGGCAAAATACAATTAGATGATACACAAATGTTGCACAGAAAGATATATTTTAAACTAGATAGATTGTTTGAGTAGAGCTATCTCACAGTTTTTTGCTATAATTTTGTCTTTTTCCCACATACTAATTGTAAATGGGAATGTGAGAATCCTTGTTAGGGCTCATTTGTTGGTGGTGATGGTTAGGCAGTACTATATGAGTCTTGTTTACCCATTGATTATTTTTTCCTTGTATTTTGCTTATTCAGATGAGACCACTGTGACTGGAAGTCTTGTTCAGAAGTCATCGCCTATCACAAGAATGGTTCATGTTTCAGGAACAGGAAGAAGCAGTTCAGTAGTAACAACCTTAAACAATAGTTCATGCAGTATTGTGACCAATCAAAATACAAAACCATCTAAGCAGAATCAAGCATCTCATTTTTTTACAGGTCAGCAATTTTAATCTTAGCTTCTCTAGATTAATCTGTTTCAGTCAGCTACTTTTATCTTGTGGTGAAAGTGGCATATTTATGCAAAATTTAAATGCAAATGAAGTGTTTAAAAATTGTAAAGCATGGATTCCTGCAAAATTACTGTTCAACTATATGTGATGGAGAGATTTTTTTTAACCAAGTCATGCTAAAACTATAATTATGTGCTTCATCCTTATTTACTTTTCAGCTTTGTTATTTTGGAACTTTGTGCCAAACATTAGTACTTAAATCCTTTCCTGAATCAGAGTAGTTCTTTATTCCTCTGTTGGAATTTGACAAATCATGAGATTTAATAGTGTTTTTTCAGCTATATAACTTACAGAGATATTAATCTGTAAGAATGTGAAATTCTTATGATGTGTGTATAAACTAATTTTTGTTTTTTACCTTATGCTATCTGTAATTTGTTAAATTATGACTTCCATAAGAATTGAAAAATTATAATAGTAATTTTGTAGCAATACTGATTTATAGAAACTGCAGATAGTCCTTAAAAAAGAAATGACAATTTTTTTTAAAGTTAAGTATATAGTGACAGTTTTGTATTTATTTTTGTGAATAGAAAGTATTAAATTTCATGACCTGTATACTTTATTTCTGCCATAGAAACTAAATATTTAAAAAACAATATATTTACCTCATATTTGGTCATCTTCTACTGATTAATTATTTTCATTTGATACTATTATTTACACTTTTATTAATGAAGGATTATTTTCTTGAAAAACAATATTGGTGATTTTACCATTTTAAGTTCAGCAGCCTAGTTGACTTTGTGCAAGAAACAAACCATTTTTTCTATCTGTGAAAAACAACTGACTAGCTTGTTTATGGGAACGAATTATATTTGTAGGAGTAATGGATGCTAAGTCTGGAAATCTCAGTATCATTGAAGATCACAAGGGGGAATTAAGCTTTTCACATTCTGTAAAAGACCACAAGGTCAAGGCATCAGTTGTAAATATTCCAGTTGGTGGTGAAGTAGCTGACTCACCTGTCCGAGGTAACAAATTTAGGCCTTTGCGTACCTAGCAATATTTGAATTTGTTAATAATTAACACCTCATCACATGCAGGATCTTTTTAGTTTGATCTAACCAGAGTGCCAGGAATTCATAAATGGATTTTCTAAGTTCCTAATTTTATTTGCCACAACTTTGTGGAATATATTTTGGCCAGGCCATAATTTTTACTCTGTAAAATCAGATAGATAAATGTCCTTTTTTAAGAAAATGAAAATTTAGATTCTCTTATTGGTGATTAGTTGAAGATTATACTTGTAAGCAGGATTCCCTTGATGCAAATATACAACAACAGAATAATATGTTAACATTAACTCTCTCCCTATGGGTTTTCCTATGGTCAGGGGTCATCATATTTGTAGACTTACATTCAAAATTTAATTGATCTACTATTTTATGAATGTATGCCAATAAGTTTGGTTTCACATTGTAGATTATAATTCAAATATTAGTGTTATACCTTAGTTAATTTCTTAATATAAAAGTAAATTTTAAAACAAAATCCTAAATATCAATTTTTGTGTGTCACATGTTATGTTGAATACAGCTTTGGTTCAAATTAGATGTTTGTGATATCCAAATACAAAGTTTATAGTGTATTATGAATTAGAAACTCAAATTATGGATATTGACAGGCTAGAATGTAAAATAAGAATGTCATATCTGTTCTATTTGCTGAGATATCACTATATATATATATATACATATATATACATATATATAGAGTTAATCAAACACAGTGGCCCCATTTTTGGAAAGACTTGCTTATATACACCTACTTCTGTCAATGACATGTGAATAACAAATCAAAAGCTCTGAATGTCTCCCAGGTGATTTTCTCAGTTTCTAGAAGATGGGAAGTTCCCTAGATTATTTTTTTGTCTTGAATTGCTGAAGGATGTAGTAAGTGAAAATTATGTCTGAAAAATAAAATTAGGTTTTCAAGAAATTAACGCAGCATTTTGGAACACTTTCATTATCCCCCCACCAAAACATACATCACGTATATGGATTAACGAGATTCCAATTGTCCCTATCTACTATCTAGCAAAACCACAGCCAAGGGAACGGACTTGGAAAAATCACAACTTTGTGGAATATAGTTAAACGAACCACCTAAACGTTAGTGTAGCCTATATAATGTGTAAAGTTTAGTATACTCTAATCCCATATAGTGATGATACACGATGAGACACACATTCGGCATGTAATGCTGTTT